AGAGACAGAGAGTCGAAATAACAGCTGACATATGCAGGTTGGATGGAAACATCACAGTCAGTTAAGACTTTACCTGCTGAATAACGTTCTTCCAATGATTGCTCAGTTTGTACCCATCCTCTCGGTTGAATGTGTCACATTTACAAAGGACAAATAGTTCACTACTTTAGCCTTTGTAAACGTGATACTGTTTGGCCGTATCGGATGGTGGAGGGTTACTACACATTTATAAATAACGCCATCTAACCCAAAAACCTTTATTATGAATAATATTGGTCGCGAAAGCCTACGTGTTAAACTCTCGGTTGAAGTTGTGTCTGTGTTTATATATCTTCATGGCTTCATGAACAAATCTCTGAAGGTAGCCGATAGGTTTGCAGAGTACCTTCATCTTGGAAAAATCAATTTCGTGTGAGCCCACAGCGCTAAAACTATGATCGGCAAGGGCAGAGGTATTGGTCCTACCGTGTTTCAGATCTGCCTTGTGTCTACGGACGCGGTCCGACACATGTCGTTTCGTTTCCCCAATGTAACTGCTGCCGCAACCACAGCTCAGTTTGTAGACACCAGGATATTGCATGTCAGGAATCACATATTTTACAGATGGGATTATCTTCTGCTGCAGTATATTTTTGAAGGAAGATTTACGATGTTAAGCGAGGAAACAAGCTTGTTCATAAACGTTGTTGATGCAACGGCAAAGGCTTTGTCACCGATTCCAATTCTTGTTCTTGGGATAGTTAAAAGCCAATTAGATGGACGTCTTAGGTTGTTTGGGTTTGACAATGGGGTTCATGAATTAGCTAAGTATAGTGCAGATTTGCCAATAAGCATTTTATGGACGAACAGGGCCCAATGTAGATTTCTTCTTGCATCAAGTACCGTGAGATTCAATTTTAAGTAGAGGTCACAATGGTGGATCCTGTATTGTACATCCAGTGTATATCGAAGCACAGAATGATTAATTGGGTTTAGTCTGTTTAGTAATTCATTAGGAGCTGATCTGTAAGCAGCATAAGCGTAGTCAAACAGTGGTAGAATGATGGCTTCAACAATTTGCAGGTACAATTGAACGGGAAAACAACATTTGTTTCTGTAAAACATTTTGTTTTAGTTTCTTCGAAATGTGATCAATATGGGGTCATAATGTAAGTTTGGATCAATCAGTAAACCCAAGTATTTTAAGCACTCCATTTATTCATTGATGTTGTTTCTGATATCTGTAATAGATGAAGGGGATAAAGCTGCGTTTTTGTTTGAACAACATAGGATCAATTTTAGGAATGACAATTGATATTGAATTAGGTCGAAATCATGTTTGAGATTCTGTTTGACTTCGTTTGGAGATTTACACGATACTAGCATGTCAGTGTCATCAGCAAAGATATTTAGTTCTGAGTGATTTAATTAGTCCAAGATTGTTTAAATATTAATACATCAGAATTATACCCAGCACCTAACCTTGTGTAACACCCTCTGTGATTTTAATATTTGTGGACGAGATGTTATCACTATTTACCTTTTGAGAACGGTCTGATAGGTAACTATTAAACCATTTATTATAGTAAATTACATTTTTAGTTGACTAAGTCTTGCGAGTAAAATATAATGGTCAATATTGCCAAAAGCTTTTGACAAGTGAAGGAACAGTGCACAGCAGCAGTGGCCTTTAAACTGCTATTAACCTATAAGGCTTTAAAACCTATAAGGCAACAATAAGGCTCACCCCAAATTACTTCCAGGAAATAATACATTTATATATTCCATCAAGGTCCTGAAGAGCTTTTGATCTCCAACTGGTCACCACTCCCAGGTCTAGGTTGCGCTCTCTTTGCAACCAGGCTTTTGTTTACGTTTGTCACTTGAAATCAGGCAATCGGAGTCGGTAGATATATTGGTATGCTTTGAAAACCCATATCTTTAAAGTGGCCTTCCCTCTTTAGTCTTTTCGATTGCCCTGGTTCTGTTTTTGTTTCCTGCTTTCCGTGAATTGCGCATTGGGATACTAGGATGGAATGCACATTATACATTTGAATTATCATTTATCCGGGTTACTGAAGAGAAAATATAATAGATGCATCATAGCTGTGGTCATGCAGTAATCCACTCGAAAGCCAGACTGTTTACTGTGCAGGAGATTGCGACTTTCCAGGTAACCGTTTATTTGTGATTTAGGTATTTTTAGAATATTTGAGTTACTGGTGAATGCATAGAATTTAGTCTCTTATCAAAAGGTACGTAAAAAGTAAAATAAATAGCTTTTGAAATGTTCTTTTCACGCTATTTTTCATAATGATGTCACCTGGGTCCAATGGCAGTAAACTTTGCATCGTGATTGGGACATGACCCTGGTACTCACAATCTGTATCCTTTTCTAGGCTGTGCTGCTTTATAGCGGATGTATCATGTTACAACAGACGGTGGTGATCTTGCACAAATCTTTGTATATATGTTGAACTTCTTTAGCACCATAATTACCCAACCGGAGGTGCGGGGAAGGACAACAAACTAAACACAAAAAGCAGTTCTAAAGAAATCACTTTTCAATCTAGATTTAAAAGTGCATAGCGCCAGTGGCTTCCTAATATTGGAAGGAAGAGTGTTCCATACTGCCGCAACAGCGCATCTGAATGCGTGTGACCATCTTTGTTTGATGGGCAGCCAAAAGCTGCTACGTGGATAACCAGTGTTCTTGTGATGGTTTTTGCTACTAACGAGACCGGCAAGGTATGCACCATGGGCGTAAGGATAACTTAACATTTATAAAAGAATGAAGATGCATTGTGATGATCACTGTATTAATTATGGCAACATTAACTAATGTGCGGAATGGTTACCATGAAGATGTTTGGGATGAAGACAGAAATTGTAGGTTTCCACATAGATAGTTTTCAGAGGTAGACTTTGCAGAAGTGAACATTGGTGACTTTACCATGCTGATTAGTCCCAATAATTATGAAATTGGTCCACAGTTGTCTATCCTGCATCACTGCACTGTCAGTTGGTCACATTTGCTTACATGAATTTTGATGGGAGACAAAGACTTGAGTTCACTGCCTATGTGAACTCAAGCGCGTACACCAAGCTCTTAAGGCTAATGGTTACTCCGACTATACAATCCGCAAAGCTATCACTCAAACCATGAAGAAGGACCCTCTTGAGGAGCCTTTCAAAACCATCACTTTACCCTACATTGCGAGGGATCACAAAAAAGATCTCCAAAATCTTGAATAAACACAAGATCCAGGTCCGTTTCAACACATTACATAAAATCCGTGATCTGGTTCCGTCTGTAAAAGATGTGATTCCGGACATACAGTACCCTGGTGTCTACAAACTAAGTTGCCTCTGTGGTAGTAGTTACATTGGAGAAGCCAAACGACGTCTCGGACTGCATTCGTGAACACAAAGCAGACATTCAATACGGTAGGACCAACACCTCGGCCGTGGCAGATCACTGTTATAATTCAGTAGGCTCACATGAGATTGACTTCTCCAAGACAGAGGTTCTTTGCAAGCCATCGGGCTACCATGAGAGATTCGTTCATGAGGCTATCCACATATACAAACACAGAGACAATTTCAACCGAGAAGATGGATTCTGGCTTAGCAATCATTGGAAGGATTTGATAAACCATTTCGGGTCTTAATTGATTGTTCACGCTTACGGTGGCTTTCAGACACCATACATTCATTTTTCGTCTCCCCCCTCCTCTTTTCCGAACATAGATGGACTCGTCCTTATAAACAAACTGCCAAATCGCTGTCCGTGGTGCTAACGTTTAAAAATAAATAAATAAATTCTGACCACCACTTCTTTCAAATGTTTCTTGCCGTTGGTTTTCACACCTGATGATGACTGTTTGTGTTACAGTCGAAACGTCGTGAGAATTTATTGTTTTATATATTTTTATTATTTTATTGTTTCCCTTCCATTAGACTTTACCGAAAGAACCAAGAATATGAATTACTGCAGTCACGAAAGCTTTAAATAAAAAAAATATTACTAGTTGACTGTATGAAAAGTATGTGCCTGTTGGGTGCAAAACATCTGAACTGAACATCATGAAATCAACATGGTCTATGGTTATCCATATTGCTAAGTAAGGACAATGCATTTTTGCGTAAACGCAGATATTCCACCCATAGAGAACATCGCCATGATTTATACAATTGTCATACAGAATCTTAATTCATTAATACATTGCAATTGTTAATGCCATCACAGAAAAAAAGTAGAATTACAATTCCCTTTTCCAATGTGCAGTTGTGCAAGGGCTCTTTGATTGCCCTAGTATGTCTTCCATCTCACAGCAAAATCTGGAAGATAAATCTTACACAAGTACCAGGATTATAACCCAATCACCGTGAAGTATTTTACTGAAATTGCAGGGATACAGCTCACAGAATAATATGAAGCCTCTTTACATATTAAACGCCATCGTACAATTCCATTAAAGACACATTTCCCAAACATGGACATTTAACCCTCAATGGAGCTTTGGGAAAATAACACTTAAAGGGCTGTATTCACCTATTCATACATGATGAATGCAACATTGAAAAGTAATGCTAATTACAGGAAAAGAAGTACTGTAATCAATATGTACATACATATATTCATTACTTATGAGAAAATAACTGAAGACATTTGCCAATAACACTTAAAATGAAAAATAGATAATATGTGTATATTTCGGGAAATGGCCATTCTTCATAGCACATAAGCAGAGGCCAGTAGAGAGATCAAGTGGATAATAAGAGTTGGAGACTGCATTTTACACCATGGGGTCTGATAACAATTATAATTTAAGCAATGTTTCCTTATTACCTATAAGGCTGTTCGAGTGGTCGGTACAGATGAGCACAAGCATGGGCGCAATCCTTTGTCTGCAGGAGTTACTCTATCGGCTTTCCGACCAGCTGCTGTAATTGCGTTGGCGTATTTACCTTGCACTGTCCCCCCCCCCCGCTACCAACTCCTCCTAATCCTCCCACAGATCAAAGAGCTGCAAATGAAGATCTACGACCTCCGCGGGAAGTTCAAGCGCCCCCCGCTGCGACGCGTACGCATGTCTGCCGATGCCATGCTGCGAGCCCTACTGGGTTCCCGACACAAGGTGTCCATGGACCTGCGTGCCAACCTCAAGTCTGTCAAGAAGGACGACAAGGAGGAGAAGGTAAGGAAGGGATGAGCGAGGCGCTCACTTGACCGGCCTAGTATGCAGGAGGTCGTCGATTCAGTCCCCGAGCGTGACACCCGTATATTTGGAGTTTGCGTCTCTCTCTCTTCCTTTTGGTCGTGTGGATTTTTCTCCGGGTCCTCCGTTTTTTTTTCTCTTCCGCATTTAGAAACATGCCTTTTAGATTATTTGGCTGATATACATTTGCATGTGATGATAAGCCCACTTCGTTGAGCTATCATTTGTGGTCAGGTGGCTTCTGAAAAAAGAGCTATATAGCTCAGTGAGCCTTACCTGGTAAAAAAAATTAATCGCCTACAATAACCTCTTTAGGCAATTGTGCCTCTTCCACCAGAAACAACACTGACGGTGGTAAAGCTTAAACGTGTGGGTTGGACATTGGTCCTGAATTCCAGCTCGCAAATTATCTTCATCTATGTCCAGTTTGCAGTTTTGACTGCAATGCTCAGCTTGGCATTTCATTAAGATTTCCAACTGTTGTGATTAGAATCAAATGAAGGCTTTTTTCTCATGGTGATGATGACCTCCTGCCACTGTTGTTATTCTACGATAAATGCTACGGACAGGGCGAGTGAGGTCCACTTTTTTTATTTTTGCTAAACGAATTTAATTGCATTGGAGTGCAGATCATTCAGCTGTGTTTTGACCATGCATGATGGACACATTTAGCAAGTCTGGAAAAAAAAATCTACATAGAAATACATTTAAACACTGACGTTTGATAGCGATAGCAATACATTAATTCCTATGACTTGTCAACATTGCAATCTATTTTAATAATGTATATTTAGCACAATTGTAAATGTAATTGCATATTAAAAAGTATATATATTTCTACAACAGAATGTATATCATTATCACCGTATGAAAGTGCAACGATAATATTTACTGGGTTTCAGGTGTTTTATTCTTCAAATAAGTGCAGTTTATTTAAATAAAGATTGTATCGAAATTAAATAGGATAGATACAATGCATTTGTGCTTCCAAAAGAGACCATACTCACAAACAAGATTAATAGGCCTATGTATGCGTCCTTTATATATTTTTTTTCTTTAAAATACCATTAAATGCTTTCTGGATGCATTAAACACATTTTTAATTCAGATAAAGATAACACTGACGCATTCTATTAAATTACAGACTATTCTAACTGGGAAAAAAACTGGGAAACTAACGTGCACCCAATATATGATGATGCACTGCAGGAAAAAAAGTCATATAAGTAGATTAGTCATGAAATTGTATTGAGAACGTGACATTAAACATCCTCTGACACGATGGAATCAGTTGTCCGCTCTTTGCCATTTCTGTTACCAGATTAGTCCGCCGGCACTCAACGCCATTATATCCCTCCCGACCAAATCTGTAACACGGGGTGGGGGATACTTAGCCTACGAATGAGTGCGTGGAAGATAGTGAGAATCTCATTGTACTGCTGTATTTAATTAATGATAAAAAAAAAATTATATATCCACAGGAAGTTGGAGATTGGCGCAAGAACGTGGAGGCTATGTCCGGCATGGAGGGTCGGAAAAAGATGTTCGACATCGCTGGACAGTAAGAAGCGCGGCAGTCACTCGGACGAGGCTATGCCCTCGAGGCTTAGGCTACTTGTCATTTTGTGAGTTTAACCCCCTGGCTGTTTCAGCTTCCTGAGACTGATGGAGAAGGCTGCTTTCATATTCGGCAAAATGCGTTGCCATTTTACAGGTGCGCAGTTTTATTTTTTATATATAAAAGAGTGAGTGAACGGCACTGAATATAAACGAGGAAGTGCATTTATGAACGTGCAACTCTTATAACCGAGGTTATCGCGAGTGCCTAATGTCCACACATTTGTGAGCTCTTTTTAAAGGTTATGTCTTGGATTTTCCACATTATAAAATGCCCCATGACTAAAACACCCAGAATGACCCCGATCTCATCAGATACAGGTAGGTAAGCAGGTTTGACTCTGGATGGCGCTTGGATGCAAGACCACTCTGTCTAAAACAGGTGGTGTAGACTGCTGTTGGACTGAATTGTCAGCAGAGAGTAGTGCAGAAAAATAAAGTGTTGTACTGTACTATGCTGCAGTATATATGCTTCCCATCTTCACCAACTTCCTCTGATCAGCGTGGGGAAGTCTGGACATATAACCCCAATGACCTAGAGGTCGTGAGGAAGAGCCCCTCATCTAGCAGTGGATTAACAAAAGTGATGTACATAGTACAGTACTGTGCCATAGTACAGCACACAATCAATCCACTCCAACCGTAATCAAACACGTGGGAATTAGCCTTGTTTTTTGTAGCGATGGGTTAGCTTTATGGATATTATTACTCTGTAAATATACAAATGGATATGCGTTGTCTTTTAAGCAAAACATTATTTGGCATACTCTTTGTTTTTTTTCGGTAAAGTCACTCAGGTAAAACAAAAATAAAATAAATGAAAACAACTAAATTTCATTTATTTATTTTTAAAGTCACATACGTGACTTTACCGAAAAAACCAAAGAGTATGAGTCCTTGCAGTCACGAAAGCTTCAAATCTAGAATTATTTGGCATGATATATTGAGTCTTGTGGTCGAGTAAGTATGAAAGAAGGACAAACATTTCAATCACAATTTGTACGCCAATTATGGAATTTTGAGAGCAGACGTACTCATCACTCTGCAAAGAGATGCTTGGCGGTGTGGCTGCACGTAGCCAACCGTGACAATAGGAGGTGCGGGGAACGTAAGAACAAACTAAACACAAAAAGCAGTTCTAAAGCAATGCGTTTTCAATCTACACTTAAAAGTGCATAGCTCCAGTAGCTTCGTAATATCAGAAGGAAGAGCGTTCCAGACGGCCGCAGGAGCGCATTTGAAAGCGCCGCGCGATGGCGGTGACCGTCTTTGTTTTCTGGCCAGCCAGAAGGCTACATGTATATTTGAAGGCGGGCGATCGTGCGGACATCTATAATGCGTTTGCACTCACTTTGCACATTCTCTGTAACGCCACACAAAACCTGATGCGAACATTTTTTTTTCTCCCTCCATCATATTTTATTTGCACACTTTAAAAAAAACAAACACACATCGGCTTGCAATTCTATTTCTATTTTGAGCGCTGCTGTTTTTTTTACCCATCGCATTTGCCAGTTTTACAGGCGTCGGCTTGCCCACACACACGGTGCTGCACCAGAAGGGATCGTGCATATTTCGTGTCGATGTTACAGTTCTCCCATTTCCTCTTGCACGTCTACAATCGTAACCTAATTATAACCCAACCAGCACCGTTGCCCATGAGCAGCCGTTATTTATACGCTCTTGGTGGGAATGTCTCCTGCGATGTTTTTTTTTTGTAATTCGTGATCACACATCATAATCAGCGACGGTAACATTCATGTTATCACGCTGTCCATCATGACATTCATCATCATCAACGCATTGATTATTATGGTCTAACATGATTCATTCACCTTGTATTTCTACTGGGGGATAACAACCCCAACCTGGTTGTGCCATGCCTATGATACCTTTCAGCTAATTTTATCTTGTAATTATCAAAATGGATAAGTAGACAATGTCTCCTTCATATATCTGTCTCTCCACATAAAATACGAGTCTTTCACGCAACCTCAATGGGCCAACAACCTTCACAGAGTTCATTATTTCGGCAACATTTATATATATTTTTTTTTAATTTATAATTTCCTCTTGAACGAGAACCTATATTTTAAAGAGAAGGCTATACTTTCTCACCCATATAACATTTAAACCTCAGTATAAATACTTTGATAATGAAATAATAAAAGATCGGGATTTTATTTTACAAAATTGTAAAACAATATTACTAATAGTTGAAGATAAACGATAATTATTAATTTGTCACATCCATTGTAACTCAGGAAAAATTAGATCATGATTAGAATGTATGAATAGCCTCTTAAATTGTACATACATCCAAGGAATTTATTGAAGGTGGACTTGAATGAAAATGGTCAAATTAAGAGATGAGTGGGGAGCAGGTTGAAGTGATTTTGGAGAATTTAATTTAAAAATGAAACGCAATACTGTACACCAGTGTGCCTAATGCACAACTTTTTTTTTTAACCAGTGCATATTATTACTTGCGTTGGCAATTGGAGTTTAGTTAGATATGTAAGTTTACCAAAAATAGGAACAAACACTAAAAAGTGCTAAATTAAACTATTTTTTTATTTTACCATATAAGGTTCACTGAGCTATATAGCTCTTTTTCAGAAGCGACCTGGCCACAAATAATAGCTCAACGACGTGGCTTATCATGTGGAAATGTATTGCAGCCAAATACTCCTTCGATTAGCATGGTTGGCTACGTACGGTGCGAACGAAGTTCAACATACATACAGGCATCAGGGTCGGAAATGAACCCACGATCTCCTGCATACCAGACGACACAGTTAACATCTCGCCAACATGATGCCCAAAACAACGTGGAGAAATACATACAGGGAATTATACTGAAAGATAAATTAAAAGGACCAGATCAATCATGGAATGAATGCAAAGTGTACGCATCGCATTGAAATGGTGAAAATGCAAGTCGGCTTGAGCAGGACGCACATCGCTCCAAAATATCACTGACGGATAAGACCGGCGATGGAGTGGCAGCCGAATGAGGGAGAGTATGCTGCCTATAGCGCCACAGCCACCTTGGAGGTAGCGATCAGGCAATGTGCAGAAGCGATATGGATTAACGGCATCGCAAGACCGCGAGAGATGGCAACGGAGATTGTGGCTGATGATCATGAGTTGCGTACGACGTTAGGCATGATAGATCTGGTGGAGAATATTTAGTTTTATTATGTGGCGATATCTCAATTACCTATAATGGTGGAAAATTGTCAATGCGTTCTGGCATTTTATCAAGATGTACGTGGACTTTTGTGTATCTGCCCACAGAGCAGTGCTTTCAAATAAAGGCCTAATTGTTTTTGTTATTGTTCGTTGGAAAAATTGCCTTCTTTACTCAACAATCAATCAGAAACCTCCCATTTGCCATATCAGCCACCGATTTACATTCTAAAAATATTACTAGCAATGGTTTATTTGTTAAGGCCACCATAGGCGCGCGAGCAAATACACACTGAGGATGATTCTCCTCAAGCGAAAGCAAAACCCGAAATTGCGAGGCATTGTTGTTAATTCTCTGCAAAAGTATGTAAACACACTCCTCTACACTCGAGTGCCACGATTCCCCTTGACCACGTGTGGATGGGAAAGGCTTTGGGCATCTCACCGTGGTGTGTATGGATGAAAGGGTCAAGGGGAAGAGTTAAGGGGAAGAGTTAAGGGGAAGAGTCCGTTCTGTGGCCCAGAGTCGAGCCACAGTTGTTGCCCAGTTAGGATCCTAATTCGGCCAATGGGAGTGACTCTGTCTCTGTGACCATCTCGAGGAGGGGGGGAGTATAGGAGAGGCAAGCGAGGGGGAGACGTATGTTTAACTGTTTGTTGGTATGTTGAACTTATTTCGCATCATACGTAGCCAACCGTGCTAATCGGAGATGTGGGGAAAGGACAACATATTCAACATGAAGAGCAGTTCAAAAGAAATGATGTTGTAATCTAGATTTAAAAGTGCATAGCTCCAGTGGCTTCCTAACATCGAAAACGAAGAGTGTTCCAGGCGGTCGCAGACGTGCATGTGAAAGCGCGCGACGCAGCGACCTTCTTTGTCCGAACTTATTTTGCACTGCACGTAGCTAACCACGCTAATCGGAGGATAAAAAATATCGGACGGGTGGTACGAAATCATCGCTCCGTCCTGGCAGCGAAATGCAAATTGGCAAATCCAAACGCACTTAGTGCCTTGGGACCAACGTGAGGATCACGAGCGGAATACTCGCAGCGTTTCGTGACGGGGCGCGCTCATAAGCTCATAAGTGGGTCCTGGCGTGGGTCATCCCGGGCTCGGGGCTTCGCCTCCGGAGTTGTGCCTCGCCCCCTCCCTACCTCGGAGCAGGCCCTCCGCCGTGCGTGAGCGAGAGGGAATAAGTGGCAGTGTAGTCTCCCGTAGCGCAGTAGCTCCTCCGACACGAGCCGTTGTAGTGCTACCGAGTAACCAACGCCGTTAGGAATTACCGGCAACATAGGGAGACGTGAGATTTAAAAGAAAATTAAATGTAGTTAGATTTTGTTTTTTTACTATTTATAACCCTTCTAGGTCGACGAGTAAAAGTACACTACTCAGCGTCACACATGCGTCTAGAGCAAAGTGTCAATTTAATCAACATTCACAAAATGCACCAATGTCCCCAAATGCCCCAGTGCAATACAATTAACGCATAGACCAGCTCCACTCAAACGAAAATTGAGTACAATTTGTATGCAACTCTGCACCAACGCACGAGTATTTTTTGACTGATCGTCCATAATTAGAAACATATTATTCCTCATAATTAAAAATTGTTAATTTGACAAAGTTATTAATTTTGTTCCTTTCTAATGACAGCATACGTTATGTCGACTGCATTGAATATGATTGGTATTGAAGATGATTGGTTTAAATGCAAAACACTGTGAGCCAACAATAGCCAGGAATATTATTTGTTTGAAATGTACAATATTTTTTAGATTAAGATTAAGCTTTGCTAAGGTTCTTGTATGGATTTTAGTGTAAGTTAAATATTTGGTTAACCTTATGAACTGTTACAGGCATGAGCGTGTGTTGGTGTTTTAGTTGCTGTGCTTCGATCCACATGTGTTTGGGTATCACATCGGATTAAGCCCCTGCATCTTATCTAACATTCTGTAAATTGAAGAGGTTGAAATTGTTTTCCATCCATAATTGGATTATAGTTGAAGCACATGACTGTTTTTTCACATCTCACTCGCACTTTCAACCCTAATTGTTTCCATTCCACATCCTTTCAAATTGCCACAAACATGTCATTCCTTGAACTTGACTTAAGCCTATGCTATTTTTGGACTCCATTGGACTACTGTAATTCAATTCTGTGAGGGCGGTGATTCACACCCAGCCCACCTCACTCCGTCCTGATTGGTTGATTGCATTTTGCGCCACTGGTTTCACTGAGTGCAGAACATGGGCACCAGGCCTAATGATGTCAGGCGATTGAATTCATTAAAATGAATAATGTCACTTCCTCCAGCCGCTGCAGTGATATTTGCAAGACCGAGTGACTAGAAGTAAATAAGTTAACAATGATTGTGTGAGCTATTTGCAAGAACCTTTAAGGTGAGTCCAGTACGATTCAATTTGATCACTTCTGTATACTCTTAGGTTTTTGCAATTTTCATCATTTCAGTAGACCTCTTCAAACATATAGCAGCACTCGAGTGTATGGGGTTCATGGGGTGAATTTGAACCTGGATCCAGTTATTAAACAAATCCAATTGGATGTAAGCATGGCTATTTGTGCACCATAATATATAGTTTTTGAGTCTTGAAATTGCAGACAGCATTTCAAAGAGACTTACATGATTATATAAATGTGTGAAGAATTTGGCTTACATTGTGCAATAACTTCATTTTTATAAACATTATCATTTTACTTTGCAGGGCTTAAAGTTCAAGAAGAAGAAAAACAAGCATGTGTTGATTGGCGGAAGACTGGAGTAAATGTTTATAGTTGGTGTTTGGTAGTCCTTAAGCAATTGAGCATTGGCCCAGTAGGTTGTATCTTATGTTTCCTGTACGAATTACAATTAAATATTTTTAATTATCCTTTTAAAAAAGCAACTGGATTATGCTGCATTTGTAAGTAAGCATTTTAAAAACGCTGCTTAATAAAACATGATCACACAATCTGTGGCTTTGTGTATTTATAAACAAAAAAAGTGCATTACATCGTTTAAATACTGTCCTTGACTGACTTTGTGATGAGGAGGTTCATTCACACATCAACTTTATTGTCATCAGCATGTTGATCTCTTATCTGCATATAACCGTGGATATGATGAATTTCAGCATGCTGCAACCGTGCAATATTTTATCACGTGGCTGCGGAGACATCAACAACTGCAGCAAAGTCAAAAACATAATTCAAACATTGCCATTTTCATCATTTCCTTTAACTTCACTGTCATCTTCATTTACAATAATTGGCGATTATCTCCATCTTAATCATCTTGCTCCATCATTCACCGCTAACGTCACCGTCACCCCTTCATACGGAGGCTCTGCTGTCATCACTGCTTAAGTCGAGGTTCCATCATCCCACTCCCGTCCCTGTTTGCCGTGGACAACAGGAATAATCTAGTGAGCCATTACTCTTGTCCTTTGAGATTGTGAATAAACAGGAAGGGTGAATCCACTAAGAAGGGGAATAATTGTTAGGCCTGGATAGTGCTTGGGTTTGGTTGCCCACGGTGTGTAAAGCAGGTGCTGTGGGCTGCTGTGGGGCTACTCTGTCAACAAAGGAGAGTGTAGCAAATTCGTTGTATTGCACGATGTCTCAACGTGTATGCTCCCTACCTTCAACCCGAACTGACCAAAGAGGCGAGATCTGGTCAAATGACACCCACAACCTAAACAGCATGCAGATGCCCTCGTCCAGCAGTGTATTGGCCAAAGTGGTAGACGTACAGAACCTGCATTTTTTTCAAAAGCTGGGCTTTGTTATGCTTGCTACCTTCAGCATAAAATATGGGCCCATAAATTCAGTCGACTTCACAAAGTCAACATAATGATTTGCTTGGCTGGATCAACCAGTATGTTCTTGGGTGAACTTTAGTTATTCTCAGAGATGTGCCTCTCATGTCGTGCATGAGCACAAATCAGTGTCCATTTATGCATGAGAACACTGCATTTGTTGACATTCTTTCGCACCGTATTGAGCCAACTGTGCTAATCGGATGTGCAGAAGGACAACAAACTAAACACAAAACGCAGTTCTAGAGAAATTAATTTTCAATCGAGATTTAAAAGTGCATAGCTCCAGTGGCTTCCTAATATTAAAAAAGAAGAGTATTCCAGGCGTACGCACAAGCGCATCTGAATGCGTGCGATGGAGTGGCTAGCCAAAAGCCGCTGCGAGGAAGACCGGAGTTTGCGTGATAGTTTATGCTCCTTGACGAGATCAGCAAGGCATTGTGGTTAAAGCAAGGCATTGTGGTTAAAGCAAGGTATTGTGGTTCGCAATACATGTTCAAACCGAGGCAGGCATGCGTTCGCATGTACGAACGGGTCAATATTCCCGATAGCTTCCATGGGTGGTGCGCCACGGTTCCCTTTGCCGCGTATGGATGGGGGAGGCTGGAGCATCTCATCGCCGTGCACGACGGTAAATGATCAAGGGGGACGGTTACGGCACGCGTGTGACACTGTGGGGTCCGCTGTGACCCCGAGACCAGCATGAGTTTCCAAGTTGGGATCGCAATTCGGCCAATTGGATGTGCCTTTACCTGTGTGATTAAAGAGACAAACATGGCAGGGAGAGCGTAGGAGAGCCAATGGGTCACCAAAGGGTCACGGGCTCGGGGATTCAGTTTCCGGGGTTCTGCTACGTCCCTCTCCACCTCTGCACAGACCCTCCGTGTGTGAGCCAGGAGAATGGTCCTCGGGCCAGGGCGTTGCAGTGATGCCAAGTATTCATTGCCCGAAGGGACGCCACAGTGTCTGGCAACGTGTTCCGTTCCATTGTGGTCTAAGAACGTTTTCTAGAACGTGGTAGTTGCTGACACATAGCGCTCTGTCCAGCCGGGCCCAGCGTTGGAGTCTCTCCGCCACAGCTATGTCGATCACTGGCGTGTTTTAGTGGGTCATCCTTCCCCACCGCGCACCTCCAATTAGAACCGTTGGCTAGGTACGGTGGGAAAGAAGTACAACATCCATACAGTACACGCATGGCGTCGACGGGTCCTACCAATTACCGCAAAAAATACCGCGAACGACCGCAACTTTACGAGTCCTATTAATTACCGCAAAAAATCTACCGCCAAGTACCACAAACTACACAAAAATACCGCAAATTTACCACGAAGGGTCCCCCCACAACCTGCAGCCCCCCCGCCCCACCTTGCGCCCCCTACACGAGAACCCCCCTCGACACGCACCACCCCCCCACGGCGTCCCGAGACTCCGCCCCTCCGCGTTCCGAGCAGCAGGCGTTTTGATTGGCTGCAGCACACACACCTGCAGGTACCTGTGAGGGTACCTGCAGGTGTGTGTGCTGTGAAGGTACCTGCAGGTACCTGTGAGGGTACCTGCAGGTACCTGTGAGGGTACCTGCAGGTGTGTGTGCTGTGAGGGTACCAGCAGGTACCTGTGAGGGTACCTGCAGGTACCTGTGAGGGTACCTGCAGGTGTGTGTGCTGTGAGGGTACCTGCAGGTGTGTGTGCTGTGAGGGTACCTGCAGGTACCTGTGAGGGTACCTGCAGGTACCTGCAGGTGTGTGTGCTGTGAGGGTACCTGCAGGTGTGTGTGCTGTGAAGGTACCTGCAGGTACCTGTGAGGGTACCTGGAGGTGTGTGTGCTGCAGGGGGGGTGGGGGCATGGGGTCAGCGAGAGGGGCGACACTATCCATGCACGCATTATGAGGGTGCAGGAGGCACCAAAACTAACAGCGAAAATCCAAGGCGTGCGAATAACAGCAGGATGTAAAGCAAGGATTGAGCAATGAATTGAATTTATACTCAACATGCAATATTACGTCAGATAGTTCACGTATTATTTTAAGCAAACTATTTTGTCGTAAAAATAACAAATCCTGTCATTGTATTTCATTTACAAATGTCGTACTAAACATGAATTGTTGCATGAATGTGACTTGGCACCAAAACCACAATTCACAAATACTGCACTGTATTTGGCAAAACGTGCACATGTTATGCATGTTTACTGCTCCAGTAATACTCCACGTAAAATATGCGTTAGGGGAGTTGTGAGACATTGAGTCACGAAATCGGGCCGCGGGATTCACCGCACAGAGCATCGACGATTCCGCTGCCACCGCCCGAGACAATGACGCCGACCGCATTTACACCACGTATCCATCTATTTAACCCGAGTCGCACAAATGAAACATCCTTGACAGCACTTGTGACAGCACTTGTGAATATGAGGCCAGGAGAGGTGGAGAGCCCCCGGGCTGCTGCTGCTGCTGCTGTGCAGGCTAAAGGTTGCTGACTGATGATGTGTCACTTTTATCTCAACCCTGCCTTTCCCACATGTGAACCTCTTCTCTTTTGCGGAAGAGGACAGTGGCGAGAACCCCCAGTGGCGCAACTAAAGAGGATACTTGCTCTCTCCCCCTCACCTTGGCAGAGAGGTCACCGAAGGATGATTAATCATTCAGCAAAGGATAAGATTCAATGCATTACCTTCTCTCGTGTTGTTTTTACCGAGGAATGTTTTTTTGTCCCTTCGACTCATCGAATCATCTCATGAAAATATGTGTTCATAAAGAGCATTATTATACTTTAGTTCGTACTTAAGAAACAATGAGAGCGTTGTTTAATATTCAAATATTTTAGATGTATTCACTACTTATAAAACCGACAGTGTTTTGTTGTTGTTTCTCACTCTTAAAGAGAGAAAATAACCCGGAGGCAAGAGGAGCCATAGACAAGTGAAAAGGTAGCCAGGCGGTGAGCCAGAACCATCAATTACCGAAGCTCTGCGGTCCTCTATGTATTAAGATGTTTTCCCATCAAACAATAAGTATTGATACGTGTGTAAAGAAACCGGAACACCCTTAGAAAACCAACACTTGTGAGGAGGGAAACACTATATGCCAACTCGATGGAACAGAGGGAGATGAATTCACACTTGCTGTACTGCCTTCTGACAAAGCAGAGTACGGCACCTCGATGCCCACAGGAAGTGAGTTTCACAACCTTTGTGCGATCCACCAACCCTCGCTGCCTCTACAGTGCTGGATTACAGGCGTGCGTAGCCACCACTACCTGGAAAACAACAAATATGAGCTTCATTCCACAGTCTAATATTCTGAAATATATTGCATTTAAACATGACATTTTCAATTTTAATCTATGGTGTAAAGCAGGAGTGAGAAACCTTTTTTTCCTGAGAGTCAAATAGGGCTGTAAAATACCTTTGGTGGGCCACACATTGACACACACCCCAGCCACTTATGGCACTGCAAGAGACTTGTAACTGAGCACAACTAAAATTAGAAAGTGTTACTCCGTCAAGATCTTTCCTAAAAGTGGGAGGGTTCTTTGTGGCATTGGGACGCATGTAATGAACTCGCAGGCCATACAATTCCCCACCCAAAATCATCGGGACCACGTGGGTTACTTGGTGACTTGGATATCAACAGGGCCAAGCAAATACCTCCAATGCCTACACAGACATAGACGGGCCTGGATCGTTGACGTATGCACGCATGTTGGACTTCTTTCGCACCGTACGTAGCCAACCGTGCTAATTGAAGGAGCAGCTATGATGGCACGACTACCAAATATCCTCAATTGTTATGCAAGAGGTCAAGATAAAGCCAAAACGGAAAAGCACAGAGGACACTCGCCACATTCACCGCCCAGCAGCAGAATCAACAACAGCACGAAAGGCACTCCTGAAAGGCCGGCACGGCACACAAGGGGGTGGGTCGCTAACACCACGCCCGGCCGCCTTTGTCTCCCTAGGGAATCGAACCCCGGTCCCCAGGTTCGTAGAGCAGCGCGCTAACCGCTACACTACCGCTCCCCAACACACCACCTAACGCACAGACACACTCAGCTCTCACGTGTGACACACCGCGTGTTTACACAACGCCCGTTTATCCATCCATTTAGTACGTACGCATGGAGGGGGGAGCGGGGGGGTTAACCCAAATGCGTAC